TTTTTTTTTTCTTGTTTAAAAATGTGAGACAGCTCATGTATTCTTTCCTCACATTCGTCTCGCCTTTCTTTTTTTTTTTTCGTTCTTCTTCTTTTCTTTCCCTTTTCTTTATGTTCTCTCTCGTTCTTTTTTTTTTTTTCTCCTTCTTATTTGCGTTTCTTCTCTCACTGCACGCCATCACTTGTCTTGAGCACCACGCGAATACCAATACTCGTAAGCTCTGCAGCCCACAGCCGCAACACCTGCGGAATCTCCACAAACGCAATTGTGTCTGTTGCCTCCTGCGAGCCGGCGCCGCAGAACTTACATGTCTTCCACGTGGAATACTCCGTTGCGTGTCGTTCGTATATAGACAGCAGTGATCCACACTCCACGCAAATAAAGGCCTTTGTTTTATCGGAAACATGTAATAAACGGTCCACCACCACCTCTGCCGCCCCGTGTGAGAGTAAACCATCCCGCTCCATCTCCCCCACACGCACACCGCCGTGTCGTTTACGTCCCTTCACCGGCTGCCCGGTTTTAGTGACGGCGCGGTGTGTGTGCGCGTCTGTGCGGGCCCGCGCCTGCCACTTGTCATTCACCATGTGTCGTAGTCGTTGATATCCACAAATGCCCATAAACACATCCGCCTCCATCTCTTCTCCACTGATGCCATCAATAAGTTTTTCACGTCCATATCGATTGTATCCAGCACGTTGAAGTGCACTTCCAATCATTTCCGCAAACCGTGGTTGTTCATCTATCACACTCCATGCACTGTGATCACAGAAATGACCCTCAATAGCACCCACCTTCGCTCCCATCATTTCAAGCACCATACCTACCGTCATACGAGAGGGAAAAGCATGAGGATTAATAATAACATCAGGAGTTATACCATCCCTTGTACTAAAAGGTAAATCATGAGAACGAATATGAAGTGGAAGAGTTCCTTTTTGTCCATGACGAGATGAAAATTTATCACCAACAGCTGGTGGACGTGGAATTCGAAAAACAACAAGAACACTTGTTGGATCTGGTCCATCGTATGTAAGGGGAACAACACTGTGTACCCAAGCATTTTCTCCCTTATCAAAATGTCGCCATTTTGTTACATGATGACGAGTATATTCATAAACTTTTTTGTTAGTTAAAGGATCAATACGTTCATACCTCTTTGCACAACAGTATACTGGACTATTATCACGTAAAGCAGGATATTTATGATCTGAATCAAAAGAAAAAAATTCTGTTACTCCTGGTACCGCACGTTTATAAGGGAGTCCACGAGGATCTAACTCTGGTGTAAAAGGTTCTCCATTTGATAATAAATTTTGAAAAACAAAAACATCATCTTTATCTCCTTTTCCACCTGCTGTTATAACCTTAGCCACTGTTATTCCTGCATGAAGCATACCAAACTGTGAAGCCGTACTGTTTAATATGACTGCATCATCCAAATCATACCCAGTATATGCAAGAATAGCGACAACAGCGTTAACTCCCAAATTTACATCATCTAATCCATAGTAATCCATTGGAAGAGTACGACTGATATAACGTTGTGGAAAATACATACGGAATAATTTCGCTTCTTTTCTCCAAGCTAATGCTTGTAATTGTGTACCCGCTGACTGTTTAGAAAGACCACATTGAAAGAGATTTCGTGGAGAACAATTATGTTCAAAAAATGGAATAGTTGTAGAAGTTAAACTTAGAATATTACTACCATTTTGTTCCATAAACTCATACTTACGATTTAATTGTGTAACTCCATCCATAAGATCTGAAGGAACGCTAGCAATATCAAGCCAGGCTTGCTCCCATACTCCAACGTATACCAAGGGAAAAGGTAGATCATCATTACGAGATGAAGATTCAATTTGTTGTACAGGACGCATTAATCTACCATAATCATAAAATATATATAATCCTTGTGGATCTTTATTCCCTGGAGGAACATATACAATTTCAACAGTATTTAAAATACTTACATTTTGTCGACGTACAATACCACTTTGTTCCACCATTTTTCGTTTTTTAAGTGCTTTTTTACGTTGTAAAGCTTTACCAGCTTTTTGAGCTTCATCTGGAGACAAATATCCCAATAATTTTCCTTCTACCCAAACAGGTACAGTATCCACAAGGCAATCCACCAAAGAGAAATTGGATGAACTATTACGAAGACCATGAATTTCTTCCTTAATCCACGAAAGTAAATCCATTTCTTGTCGTGATTCAGATAATACTGAATTAGACATAATAGTACTTATACTCAAGTGATTTAAAACACCACAATCTTCACCATCAGGACTATGAACCATACAAATAAATCCATAGGCCTCACAAGGATATCGTCGTACTTCACTGGAACGCATCTCTGCAATAGTTTTACCACGATGTAAACAACGAAGTTGTTCAAAAAAGCGGTAAAAGTTAAGATGTTCTGCCATAACTACCCAACCAGATGTTTGAGGACAATAGAAATCTTCTTCACGATCTAGAGTAAGGTTTCCAGTAATTAAAACACGATGAAGTGCATCCAAAGGATCACTCACACTTCGTCTTTCACTGTACTCTGCATACTTTCGTAATTGTGTAATGACTCCAACAGACTCTTTCGCTGGCATTTCAGAAAGTTTTATAATACATTGAAATAAATGAGATGGAATGTGACTTCCCAAGCGGTATACAAAACCTTTCATATATTTATTTAAACATACTTCAAAACCACCCATCAAAACTTGTGAAACAGTAAAAACTTCTTGATAAGCAGGAACATCATTACCTTGATGATCACATACTCCATCAAAGAAAGCATATAACTGACGCACAATAGCTATCATCACATTAAATTTTTCTTCTAATTCTTTAATAAGTTGAGGAGGAAGCCAACTATTACATTCTTCTGGAGAAGCAGATGCTGACAAATCTGGTGTAGGAACATTTACATTCAAATGTGGAAGCACATGACGACGTAACATGAAAACTCCATACCATGCATCATGTTGAGCTTGACAAGTAGAATGAAATTGTGGAAGAAAATGAAAAGTATTAGATGTCTGATGATATTTTCGGTACATTCTACCAAGTACTGCAATGTAATCCAAAAAGTGAGTAAGTGTGGCATATGGTTTTTGATGATGATGTTGTAATAGTGCTTCTACACGAGCGGCATGAGAACTACTACTATCGGTAAAACCTAAAGTTAGAAGTTTATATATTTCCATTGGAGAACATTGACGAGTGTTTAAGGCGAATAGTAAAAGAGGAACTGGTATGTGCCAAACCACCTTTCGTGCAAAACTAAACACAACCTCACCTGTAGTAGTGTAATAGAAGTAATTTTGTATAGTCAATCCACTAGGACGCTTACAACGAATAACAACAGCTTTTGGTGAGAAAAAAGGTCCTTGTGTTGCAAATCGCTCTCGATGGATATTTATTGGAACATTACATCGCTGCATAAGAAGTGCACGTAAAATACGTTCGCCTCCTCGCATAATAAAATATCCACCAACTTCTTTCTGATCTTCAAGAGCCCGAAAATTATCATGACGAGAATCTGTTCCACGTAAAGCACAACGTGCCCCTTGTACCATCTCTGGAAATTCCGAAAAAGAAATCCACAACTGATCTTTACTGGGTACCAACGCGGAATAACGTTCATGTTCTTCTACTGGAACATTATGTTGACGCATGAGTGAAAGAAATTCTGGCATAAGTGTATAAAGTGTTACCACTCCACCTTGTGTATCTCCCTGATTATCTGCAGTGAATTTAAATCCAAGTCGCACATGACATGATTGTGCGTATGTCTCACCATAACGTCGGTAGTATTGTGGAGTAGCAAAAGGTAAACAAGAATGCACGGCACGGTCATGAATATTTTGTGCTTCTTCCATAATTTCAGCTTCTTTTAAATGTTTCATCTCTACCAAAGAGGCGAGAACATGTTGTCCTGAAACAGCACGTTGTAATGTATTATGTTCTTCTTCATCCCATTTTTTTTTTAAATTGATTAACTCCGCAAGGGCACTTTTAATACGATCTTTAAGAATTGTAAACTCTCTACGTTGTGTTTCAGCTTGTACATTATCAACAGTATTCATAGCGTAGAGTGCTTGATCAGCGGTATGTATACGATTTTCAAGTTTTGTTAAATTATGCTGTGCATGTTCAATAACCATACGAGCACAACGTGCAGGTCGAATACCAATTGCCACATCCAATATAACGAGAGAAACAAGTCCTACGGGTGTAGGTGTGCGTTGACCAACTTCATTAACGACAGCACTGAAGACTACTCCTTCATTTTTCATCTCACGCACAAATGCCTCTACACGTTGTTCTGCAAAAGCATCAAAGTCTGCTATATGAAATGAAACCAAATCTGATAAAAGTTCCGTATTAACACGACTTGGTAAATTAGATGGTGAAGAATCTACCAAGTGTTGAAGTTCCTCCAATTCACGTTGTACTTCTTGTACGTAATGATAAGAGAGTCCTTCATATACAGCTACAGAATGACCTGTTTCCTCTTCAGAAATTTTAAATACTCTTGTTGCGGTATCTTGTAAGGCACGTACCTGTTCGCTTACGTAGTGGAGATGCTTTGGACCGCCTGATTCCGGACTACCAAGTTTTCGCGGATTGTACTCAAGCTTTGGCAGACGTTCACGTAAATCATCGAAGAAATGAAGAACATCTTCCCCGCCAGCGGTGTCGAGAGGAGCACAATGGGCCTGACGTTCTCCAATGTACCGCAATCGCGTGATGGAGTTTCGAATGAGTTGCAGCCGCTCAAACGGCGTCATTTTCGCTGGTGGCAATCGCGGGTCGCCGTGCTGCAGCTGCTGGCGCTTGTGGCGGCTGGAGACGCCGCTGTGCAGCGAGGCGGAGTTCTCGCCCACCGACGAGGCGTGTGATCGGGAACTGCGCAGCGAGGACTTGGTGGACATGCGAGCAATCCCTTTTTTCTAAACTCCTCTGCGATAGAGAGAGGGAGAGAGAGAAAAAAAAAATAATACACAGAAGAAAAAGGAAAAAAGGAAAAAGAGAGAGAACCAACGTTGATAAATGAGATAATACAGGTGTAGTAGGGGAAAAGAGGGGGAAAGCAAAGGGGGCGATGATAAAAAGATGGTTAGAATAATAATAATAATAATAATAATAATAATAATAATAATAACTCAGACCGAAGAATATCTAGAAAAAAAAAAATCGTACTTTGCAATACAATATTGCCCACCCAACAACCACAGCCATCATCAACAACTACAACCACAAGACAATAATAATAAGAAAAATAACATCATGATAGAGAACATATAAATAAAAATAAAAAATAAAAATAAATAAATAAATAAATAAATAAATAAAAAGTAAAGAATCACTGCAATTCACACTTTACCGGTGAAAACTTGGGCCCATCACAATCCAAAATTGGCCCAATAAAGAAACACTGTGGTAAACAATGTTGTAAAGACACAATTAATTGCCACCCAGTTATAGCGAATAAAAACACCGAACATGTAAAAAATACGTGGCACATCAATAAATAAAAATTTTTGTAATCGTCCACCTTCCGTGTTATACATAAATTTCAGAAGTTCTAATTGTTTTTCAGCATCTTCTTTGGAACGAATCATACGAAAAAGTGGGGCATAGGTAACAAAAGTTCGTCTAATATTTTTTCTTTTCATTTCTGATATAATATCAATCGCCTTATCATATTCATCATTTAGGCAATAACTTCGCACCATCTGATTCGCCAACTCACGCTGTACTATTTTTGGTTGCGCAACAGAACAGTCCATAAGTTCCTCATACAATTCTTCTGCCTCACAGAGCGACATTTTGCCACGCTCCACATCGTATGCAACTAGACTAAAAAGAGGAACCAGATGATGTGCGCCTAATGTTGATAAAATGTGTTGATGTTCCCTAAGACCTCCATCATGAAACCATAATGTGTGAATAGAGGGACGAACCTCAAGATGCAGAAGGTGTTTTTCTAAAAAGTCATCCGCGTTTCGAATCCCAAGGGAGAGCTGAGAGAGTGTCATCTCCACCTGCCGCTCCACACGCTGAAGAGCAATAGCATTTTCAATCTGCACTACCTGATCCATTCTGTTGTATAGAACTGGCGGTAATGATCCGGTGATGCCAATGGCCCGCAATGGGCGCTGCGGCCGCATCATCATAAAGTGATCGTACGCAGGCTTCACCGACGGCATGCCGCCAACAAATGCAGGCGTGACGGGATAACAACCAACACCCATCCACGGTGCAACAGTCATGCGGCCTCGTCGCCGTGCAGTGGAGGCACGCATATATGATAGCGCCGCAGAACTATATGGAAACAAACAAATAGTGAAATAGAGAAAAAAAGAAGAAAAAGAAGAAAAGTGGAAAAATGAAACCCAATAGTGAAAAAATACAGAGAAATATATATATATATATATATATATATATATATATATATATATATATAGTAAGAGTTCTAGATAAACAAAAGTTCAAACAAAAAGGAAGGGAAAAGTGTGAATATGGACTACGGCACTACTAAGAAGATATTTCACTCTTGCTTACCCTTCTTTTTTTTTTCTTTCTGTTTTCTTACCGTACACCATACAGCAAATAACCGTATACTTGCAATGACTGTGCCTGTGTATAATATCATATTGATGGCACGGACTGCGTTACAATTTCACCCTCAAGTTTCGCGGCGAGTGATTCCGCCTCATCATATGTCGATATCATTGCCTGCGCAAGAGAGGATGCTTCAGTATTTAACCAAGCAATATCACGATCCAACAACGCGATAGGAACATCTGGGAGTGCAGTCAGTGCACGTTCCAGCTCGGCAAAGTGACGATCAAGTTCATCCACAATTCTACCAATACGCTGCTGCTCTACGCCCGATTCCCACTCTAATCGCTGTGCTGCGGTGTCAACTAGATCACATTCCGCACTAGTCGTATCTGGTGATCCTGTCGATTGTGGTAGTGCGTCCTTCACTGTAGTAAGCAATGCATCACGCATCGCCTCAACACACCGTGAGAGGGCGACTTCAGCCTCCACAATGGGTCTCGACATGGCTTATCAATAATACAATTAATAAATGAAGGCATAAAGTAACATAGATTAATAACCGTGCAAAGAGAAAAAGAAGAAGAAAGAAAAAAAAAAAAAAGCCCTTATTTAAAAAGATTATGGTTCTTGAGTTGTTTCAGGCTTTGGTTACTCCATTATATTTATATATATTACATACATATATAAAGAAAATAAAACCACAGCATTACTGCAAAATTTCATTGTCACAGAATCAGCAATTTACACAATATCGGAACAGACAGTAAATTCAGCTCTACAAAGCCAACATATAATAAAGAACCAGTAGAACTTAGAAAATGGCAGATTCCAGAGTCTACCCTTCCTTAAGAGATCCCCTCCACGTTGGAACGGGACAGCAAAAGGATAAAAAGAAAAAAAAAAAAACAAGTTTAAATCCTTTCGAGTCCTTCACCAAAAAGAAATTAAACATACACAACAACCGTAACAAATCCAATTTAAAAAGAGAGAAACAATATAACATCCACCAATCCATCATATAATATAGTTTCTCTCCAAGGGTACATTCTTTTAATAATATTCTACACCATTCATAGTTGCAGAATAATAATAATAATAGTAATAATAATAATAATAACCCTTTTGACATTACATAATGGTGCAAGTTTTTGACATTTTTCCCATTAGCATCGCACGTTGTTTGCCTTTCAGTTGTTGGAGTCTTTCAACCTCTATACGAAGCGTATTAGGGTACTCTTCACCAAGAAAAAGAATATCACCGTCTCGCAGATTGTTTGCTCGACTCAGGTCAACAGTCAAAAGATTTCCTTGATTTTTCATATCAAAAAGCTGCCAATTAACTTTTCTTGAAGAGGCAGCTAAGTTATTAACTATGGAAACAATTTTATCAACAACACGACCCACTGACCATTGCTGGGATAAGGCAATACAAAAAGGAGGAACAGTAGAAGTAAGTAAATGATCAGCAACGAACACTGCGACAACAGAAACAGCAGCGCCCCCAAATTGAGAATCCATACCACGAGGGTTACTTCTAGTGTGGGAAAAAATAAACTCATCAAGAGGAGGAGGTCGCCGAAAAGGCCAAGAATCAAGAAGTACGGAAGTCTTTCCCTCTTCTTCTTCTTTTCGTCCCTCTTGTTGTTGTTGTTGTTTTTGCTCATTGTCATGATTCTTCTCCTTATCAATGGGGACAGCATTGGTAGTCTCCATACATTCAGAGGTAATTATACAACCAGAAGAAGAAGAAATTGGTGGAGAAACATCTTGTTCTTTTTCTTCCTTTGATTGACTAGATTTAATTCGAATGCGCACTGCAACCGCATGCAAACGAGAATTACTTTGCAATTCTCGAGGATTTGAGAAAAGTCGTTTCGTCAGTGTCATTTCTAAATTTACCAATAAATCAGAAGAATTATTACAAGAGAGATCATCTAAGTTTGTTTTTCTTTCTTCTGTAATACGTCTAGATTTCAAAGGAAGGACAACGATATGATTAGCAAGGGAAGCTTCTTTTACCGTTAATGATACAGGAATAGGTCGTAACACAATCTGTTTTGTACCCTCAACATGGTATAATGTCTGAGTAAGTAAATTAGACATAAATAGAGGATGTGAATCTTTTAAGCGGTCTATTAATTGACCAACAGACATTTCAACCGCTACTTCAAGAGAAACAACTCCTAGAGAATAATAATCTTGATATTTATTAAGCTCTAACTCTTCCTTGCATACCAATAGAGTAACAGGTATCATAGTACCACGATACGTTGATGGTGCCAAACGTAATGGATGATTTGGTTGATATTGAGAACATAGAAGCTCAAATTCATCCGTCACATTATTATTATTATTATTATTATTATTATTATTATTATTATTATTATTATTATTATTATTATTATTATTATTATTATTATTATTATTATTATTATTATTATTATTATTATTATTATTATTATTATTATTATTATTATTATTATTATTATGTAAGAGAGACTTTTTAGGTCCAAAGTCTTGCAAACTTGTCTTTTCATTACTTTCGTGATCATGAAAACGATGTTCAGCACAGAAATTTTGATGGCATACTTCACACGGAGTAAGCACGCACCACCTACTTCCACATATTATACAAGTGTATTTTAACTTGTCTTCTGTCCTTATTGTCTCATCCACCGCCTTACCTTTTACATCTTCAAGAACACAAGGTTTCTCTGTTGCGGGAACATTATGGAAATTAATATGTTCACTACAGAAAACACCATGACACCTATTACAATTCAAGGGCAAAAAATCAAAAAGACCACAAACAGAACAAAGAGCCCCTTCGCCCTCACATTGCAAACTCATTTTATTTTTCCCTTTTTCAAAGACACAACCCTAGCAATATGAAATGATATTCACGTGCTCTTTTAATGATTTAGCAGCCTCTCTCTCTCTCTCTCTCTCTCTCTCTCTCTCTCTCTCTCTCTCTGTTTATCTATCTATGTGTTGTTTGAAGAGAAATAAAATAAAAAAAATAGAATAAAAAGAGTAGAGACAGTTCCAAAAGAGACTAAAAACAGTACAACAAAACAGAAAAGAAAAAAAAAAAAAAAACATTTATCACAGTTAGAGGATAACTGCAATAAAAAAATAAATTAGCATATAATATACGACATATAACGCCTCGCTACCACAGTAGGTCTTCCAGGTAAGCTTGGCTATGTTAAATAAGCTGAGGTGCTATCCAAAGCTCATTTCACTACTTAACTAGCAATAGAAACCAATTATTTTCTACTGTCCACAGCTTTACTACTACTATTACTACTACTATTACTAGTACAAAAACCAAGGTATTCAAGTATTGTACCCCACTAAAAATACCAAACCCCAGAACCCATCCTCTACACGAAGATAGATAGAAATATTTATGTACAAGAGATTGATAACAGATAAAAAGCCACCAACCATTACAATTTAAATGTAATAATAATAATTATATATATATATATATATATATATATATATATATATATTTCGTCCCTTTCCTGGATCACTCCATCGCATTTCGTTCTCTAATACCATCTCCAACGTTCTAGTCGCTTATACTTATGAATAAACTCCTTTGTATAGACCTGGGATGCGTAATAATGCTGATCCTGAAAGTGTGAATAATGTGGCATGTAAGCTGCATGGTAGAGGTAAGCAACAATACCCATTGGGGCAGAAGCCAAGAAAAAAATTGGTAAAAATGTATCGGTCATCGTCCATTGATGTGGAGGATTAAACCATCGACCAGAAAATGGGGGAGCAAAAAGATTTGAAGTGGCATGGCCACGAACAAGTGTGGTTCGACGAAGCATGATTAATTACAGACTAAACGTATTCCCTTCCTTCTATTCTATACTAAAAAAAAAAAAAAAGAAAATCCAAACACCAAAGAAATTAAACTTAAAATAAAGTCAAACATACAAAATAAATCACAAATCACAAACAAAAAAAAACATACACACTCAAAAGCCTTTTAAAGAGAACTCACATTTTTTTAAAAAAGGAAACAAAACAAAAAAACTTTTTTTTCTCTCGTACTGCGTTCTGTACCCTCGTAACCGATGATGGTAGCAACATGTACCCAACGCACAATCAGTTTCGGATTACTACATTCATTACACTCAGAGACAAAATAATTATCTCAAAAACAAAGAAAAAAACACTCACATGTATTTTGTCCCTTGCTACTAGTTCTTCTTTTTATTGTTTTTGTTGCATCTTGCTTGGATGTCTTCGTGACTTAATGCGGGTTATTGACCTGCACGACGTTCAGCCATTAAAGAATCTAACGATTTGGCCGAATATTGCCCTTGTCCACCAAAATGTCCAGAAAATTGAGCCATTTGTTGTTCCATCGGGTTTACACTATTTGAGGTGTTGTTAGTGGTCGCCATCGTGGGCGCATTTGTGAACGGTGCATACCCTTGAAAATTGTTTCCACCTGCGGTAAAGGGTGCCTGTGGTGCTCCAGCAGGAGGAAATTGACCCCCATTCCCTGGCGGCGCCCCCCAGTAGCCTTGTTGTGGCATTGCACCATACGGTTGCTGCATAGGAGCCCCACTAGACCATCCACCAATTTGTCCTTGTGTAGACTGTTGTTGAGGGACTTGTGGTGTTCCATACCACATACCAGTGGGGGCCGTACCAAGTTGTTGTGGTTGCGCCGTTGGCGCAGTTTGAAAAGCACCAAACATATTTTGCTGCTGCTGCTGTTGTTGTTGTTGTTGAAGTCGTGTATCCAAAAAGGCGTCAAAAGGGTCCACAGCAGCTTGAGTTTGAGTTTGTTGAACGGGAGCGCTAGATGACCAACTAGGTTGTTGCGGATTGGAGTTAACTGGTGCAGGAGTTGGAGCCGGTGCAAACAAATCATCAAGTACATCCGGCTTGGGTGGTTCAGCTTTTGGTGGAGGTGCTTCAGTGGTGGTAGTAGTAGTATTGGCAGTAGGAGTTTTTGACGTTTGTGTGGTAGGTGCATTTTGTGCGGGAGTAGATGATTCCTTATTGTGTGTGGCGCGCCTCTGTTGTTCCTCCTCTTCAAGTCGTCTTGCCAACTCCAGATCTGAATTATAGGCCGCTTGGGTCACCGTACTGGATTGTCCTCGACTTTGTTGATTATACATGCGTTCCGCCTCAACGACGGAGATCCCGGCCCGACTCTCTTCCTCGCGTTGCATTCTAGCAGCGAGTTCCATATCGTACCGTTCTTGTTCCTCCCTTGTGCGTGCCTGATACGATGGGCGGTCATAACTGTATGAAGACGGTGGGGGTGGTGAGCTGCGTGAGAATCCCTGATAGCGTGTGGATGCGTAGCCGCCCTCAGCACTGGCGGAACCGGCCAACTTTGAGCGGGTGAGGGCCGCCTTTTCACGCTCCTCCCGCAGCATTGCACCGTCACTGAGGAGTTCACACAACTTCTTCGCCCGTTCCCTAACAGAGAGTCCGTGGTCCGTCCCTTTACTTCCCGTGTAGTAAAAGGTCTGGGAGATGAGACGCACGGTGGGAAGTACAGTACACACCGCTGGAAGTCCAGACTCTGGCACATTACGTGCGAGATAGTCAAGTAGTAGCAAAGTTTTATAGCAAGAACGCCATGATTTGTCTCGATGCTTTAGGCGTAATTTAATTTCTTCCATTATATCAACAGACCCACGTGCGAAAGCACGGCAAACATCTTCCATTTGTGTACCAGTCGGACCCCATGGATCTTCATTTGTGGCTACGTGAACAAGTTCCACATACTCGTTACCAGAAGTCTTGACACGCAAAAGTTCCTTTGCGGCGTGAAGAGAAGTAGGAATGCTCATCTAAGACAGTATTGCTTTTTTACTCCCTCCTTTATACTTTGTGTCCTACTTTTGTTTTTTTTTTATTTTTTGGATTTTCTATTGTTACAACTCGATAGCTTTTTTTTTTTTTCCTCCTATTCAGTGCGTATGTGGGTGGGTGTGTTTCGAATATAGCAAAAGAAAATAAAGGAAATACAGGGGAGGGAGGTCAAAAATAATAATAATAATACCCTTATTCCACATAGTAAGAAATGTTAACTCACGGATGAACTCAAACACATAGATCAGTTATTTCACAAGACGTGAAACAACAATAATAAAAAAAAAAAAAAAATCATCATCTCAAAACTCCAGGAAACAGTTCCAAAATCCAAATAATCTGCAAAAAAAAGATTATTGACAAAGCCGTCAAAAAAAAAAAAATACAGTGGGTAGTTAAACCAAGACTTGACACTCTCTAAAACGTACGTGTTTAAAAGAGAGACTTTTATGAACGGTTATTACATAAACCGACGCCAAAGAAATTTATAACTCCATTTAAACATTTACTCCATTTCAATATAAGGTGCCACTATTTCAAACCGGTATCAAAGTGTCATTGTGGCTGATAGAGTGAATCCGCAAAAAAAAAAAAAAACGCATGGCGACCACATTGCTCTTGCTTTAATGTGGTATGTGATGGACCTTTTTTTTTTTTTTTACTATTAGATCTACACTAAAGTAAAAAAAAAAAAGAGGGAAAACAAAAACAGATAATAACGTCAAAGAATCACATATACACACATATACAAATACCTGCGTTTTTTGTCCTATAGACAAAGACACAGGAGGCATAATACACACCTAATTTCACCCCACAAAATGTGAGATATAATCCTTAAAAGAATAAAAACAAACAAAAAATGACATGAAGTAGATATTGGATCCGAAAAGTTCTAGTACGGGATCATTGCCTCGTAGTCAGCAGTGCGACGGGCAAGGACCTCAACGTTCTTTGGGCGCACAATATGACCGTTACGGCTGCTCTTCTTGGCCTTTGGCAGTGGCTTGCCCGCCTTCTTCGCAGCCTGGAAGGCAACAAAGTCCTTCTGCTTCTGCTTGAACGCCTCCTGGCAGCGTGACTTGCGAACGTGCTCGAAGCGCACGCAGATGCGCTTGCGGATGGTGCGGTTGCGGACTGGCTTGTTCACAATAACGCCAACACCGCGGGGAGTGACGTTCCACACGATGCCTGTGCGGCCGTGGTAGTACTTGTGCGGCATGCCAGCGCGCACGGCGGAGTCCGCCACGACATCGACGTAGTCGCCGACCTTGAAGTTTGTGAGGATGGTGCTCACGGAGGGCACGCCGTGCTTGCGGAACTTCTTCGCGAAGAGGTGGCGGGTGCCACACTTGTAACCGTAGGAGTGAACCATCTTCGGCTATTCCTGTCCAGGGATTGAGATGGAGTAGTAATAAATATAGGGAGAGTGGGAGGAAAGAAGGAGAAAAAGAAAAGAGAAGGATCAATATCAAATTTCAAAGAAATACAAACACATAGTACAAGATTATATATATATATATATATATATATATATATATATATATATATAACGCAATGGTGTGCTTGGAAAAATAAACAAATTATACCATCAGTATTACAAAAACACATGGCGGAATTTTTTTGCTCTCACAGAAATGTATGAGAAATATATGAAGAAAATACTTTGAAAAACAAGAAAGAAAAACTTACTTTCCTTCTGTTTTGTTTTTTTTTACTTTCCTTACATCTTTGCGGCACCCACGGCACTGCATTCTCGCAGCAGCATAGTGTGTGCAAAAAAAAAAAAAAAAACCTTATATGTTGTTGCAAAATAGCAAACAATAACAGCACCTCACGGCAACCCGTGTATATATTTTTACAGTTAAAGAAAAAAATTCCTTTCAAAAAAAAAAAAAAAAAGGGCTGTCAAATAAGACTACAAAGAGCAGTAACAAAAGCAAAAGACATCAAAGCCAATAAGAGAAGTAATAGTCAACAACAACCAAATAATAACATTAAAAAAGAAGAATAAAGAAGACACGAAGACGAGGGAAGAAAACACATCATAACAAAAAATCTTAATAGCTTCACATGCAGTATTTCTTTCTCACTTCCTGCCCTATGTCTATTAAAGTACACTAACGAGCCAATTTACTTTCATCACCGCTCAGAAAGGCTGTAAGAAAGATATACGCAAAGAGAGTAAAAAAAAAAAAAAAAATAATGTCTCTTTTGCTCAAGGCAAAAGAGGTGAGTAAAATAAATGTCTATTGTATGACAGAAACTTCTACGGAAATAATAAAAAATAAAAGAAAAACAAAAAGAACCCCATGTCTACATTTTCTTCTTTTAAGAACTTTGCTGTCTCTGAACAGCATTTTTTTGTAGTGAATTGCGATCAAAAGTAAAGCGTCGAAATAAATATATACGCATTCGCCTCAAAAAACCGATATATCTACGATTCGTTCTAACAGGCATTGGCAATTCGGAAGAATATATTGTAATGCCATCAGGTAGACTTCGTTGTGCTAATGGCCGGCGATAAAAACTTGACGATTTTGAACCATGTGATCGGGGTGGTAAAATCTCAGTTGTTTCACCCTCATCATTCTCTTGAGAAGGTACAGTACGTATCATTGCATTATTCCTCATAGGAAGTTTATTTACAATATCCCTAGTGTAGCTTAATGGTGGAATTCCAATCATGTGACATACTCCATTGCACTTATGAGAACGAATAAAAAGACGCATCCCCTCTCTTCCAAGATTACCGCGACCGTAACCTTTGCCATCAAAGGTTAATATTTGTGGATCCGTATAAATATCATTCACACCTTGAATATCTACAATCATCAATTTTCTTTGGCTAGCATGATATGAAAAATGGGAAAATGCCTGTGGAGTCCATCGTGCTTCATCTGGTACATAACCACTATTATTATTGTATTTTGTATAATTTCCATCTAATTGAGGCTCTACTGCAAAAAACAATGATGGTTTACGGTCTATCAGCTCCATAACAACGGCTGGAAGAAAATATACTGGTTTAGGCGGCATGCAACTATTAAACTTTTTAGCCCAATGATTAGCTATTGTATGCATTGAGACGTCATCAAAATATTGAGTCTCTTTCACAGAGGAGTAACGATAACGTTTAGCTACCATCTTGCAATTTAATCGGTTGAGATCTATTACGTAGTACGAAGCCCGCATATCACCATGAGCGAAAGGAGTAGGAAAAATAACAACAGAAGTCTTCACAGTAGTCCATACACCATGAGTTGTATCCCATTCATATACTATTGCTGATTCAGAATATATATTCAAATGAGCTTTTAAACAAAATCTGTAGTGAAGATCAATAAATGCCCCTAATGGTAAGGCATCTACAGAACCATTTTTTAAAGGAATAATTGCAGGTACTTCTTTTTTTGCCTTTATTCTGCTATTACTACTTCTACTTCTACTACTACTACTACTACTACTACTACTTCTGGTGTCATAACTACTATAACAAGAATCACTGTAGTTATTACTACCATTAGTACTACTACTACTACTATCACTACCACCTATTATTCTAGAATCGCTACTGGACCTCTCAAAAGTTGTACGAGATAAACTACTATAAATAGTATGAGAATTACTTTCAAAACTACTCTCAGTAGTGCTATAACTGCTATAACTTCTTGAACCGCTATATTCGCGTGCATATTCACAAGTCGAACAAGATGAAATAGAGGACCGTGTAGAACAAGAATGCCTTTTTGAAGGCACTTGTTGAGCAGAATTACACAACATTTCTTGATTATTTGGTTTCATGGGTTGATTAGTTACAACACAAATCATCTGATTGGTGGTGAGAGAAGGAGGAATACGGGTAGAAACAATATCTTTGTTTCTCTTCTCAGAAGTATCCATTGTACAATCCCCCTTGGCTCCTGTATTCTCAGAAGGGGAATTTGGCTCTTCTTCTTCTTTTTCACTCATTTCGTTTAAATTAACACTCATTGGCCTCGGGGACGAGGTGGAACACCCTGCAGTCTCCAGTGGACGTGACTCCACCTGAGAAAATGAAATTTTTTCTTTTGTTGTTGTCTCTGTTGGAAACGATAACTGCGGTTGGGGTTGCATACACGTTTGTTTGTCATTTACCGTAGCATTAACCACACATTCGTCCGAATTTGTAGTCGTGATTAGCGACTCACTCACGTCATTCTTCACATCTAATGAGTGGTGAGAAGATCTCATTTCACTCTTCTTCCCTTTCACTATTAGTGGTACGGTTTCAGTCACTTCCACACATTTACTATCCTTGTTGTTTTTACGGGATTTTTTATGAGAAACGTTAGATCTATTGAGTGGGGAAGCAACACATTGTGTGGGTTTGTTCTCAGGCAATGATAATAAATTCTTCTTTTCATCATTAACTTTATTACAATACAATTTATTATCCTGGGTGTTTTGTTCACCTATGCAGGAACTCTGACTTTGCTGCTGCAAGGTTTCTTTCGTGCATGACATTTATTTAACTTCACTCTAAAAAAAAAAAAAAAAATACTACTACACTGAAAAAGAAAAAAAAATAAATAAATAAATAAATAAAAAAAAAGTAACAATAATAATACGACACACTTGGGTAACAATATGAAAACCCAGCAGAAGATGAAGTTAATATACCGGTTTGACTTCTTTTTTTTTTTCTTCCTTACTTGGTTTATCAAGTTCCGCAGATGATCATTATGCGACATCTGTGAAGAAGAACAAGTCATCAACCCCCCGACTCACTTCTTCATTATGTATAATGCTGCGTTTGCCCAGAGCACTTGTAAAACAAAGACGGTCTAAACATCTTCCAATACAAAGATAAGCACTAGCAACCTCCACTTGTGCCTCCCACTCCGTTACATCTCCCAACAACATTGTCGAAACTGGGCCAGAACACATAGAGCGTGATGTGTTAGAAAAATGAAGAAAAGGTGGAGTAAGAATAGCATGGTTGTACAGTGTGTAACCAGGTGTCTGACCTATTGTGCTTGTCCCACCAACTGAAGGATCATTACTATATATAGATGGATTACATGTTTCCCAATTCAGTGTGGAAAAGTTTCGTTGTGAAAAAGTCACCTGCATTACAGCTTCTTCAATTGTTAAAGAGTTTGATTTTAATAAAACATTTTCCATGTAGGCAACAAGTGCGTCCTTTAGTGCTCTCATGAGACGAAAAACAATACATGAGGAAAATATATTATCACTTGACATTTCTTGAATTTTGTAGTTCAAATAACTTACTGCATATGCTTCTGCCATTCCGCCTGCTGGCATGAGAACATTCAAATGAGATGGTAAACAAAATACATTGACTAAATGATGTAGTTGGCGATGAAAAAGTCGTTCCATAAGTTTAACGTCAGCAGCACATTTACCACCAAATACAACACTAAGAGTTTTTTGTACAATTCGTATAATATTCTTTTTCTTGTCGTTTTTTAACGGTTCAAGTACCAAAAGAAGTGAACGACATTCATTTTCACTATGTTGTTTGTGAAAAACAGTTGTAAAGAGTGTTTTTATTCGCAAATGGGCTACAACAGGATCAAAGTGAAGTGATTTTAATCTTCTTGGTAAAACATGGAAAGCCATTGCTAACTCTGTCATTACCGTTTGACCAACTGAAACTGCAATTAATACAGTTCGTGTATTATCTCCCAACCCCTCCATGTATTGTAATAATACTTCTTCCACGTGACCCTTTATTACGATAACCACCAAACCTTTTTTTACACTCTTTACCATGAAGGCCAAACGTTGAAGGTCAGGGTTATCATCTGATCCTACAAATTCGGTGGTAAACTCTGAGAATAATAATAACATTTCGACATGACAACCCTTATCCTGAAGTAAAGACTCAAAGGTATGTAAAGGGGTAAGCACAGAATTCCTCGAAAATGAAGAACTGCCCCTTTTCAAACAATATTTTGTTATAAAAGAAATACCTGGTATAAGATATCCTTCACTCCTCCCTGTAGACCACCAAAAATCTTCATCCCCTACAACGACACAGAGAAGTTGATCTACAAGTTTGTGTAAAGATGTTACCCTCTCTTGTTCCATTGATATATTATCATCGGTAATAGCATCCATAAGACGAGAATAAATAGAAATAAAACAATCCACTGCTAATTTACCTGCTTCATAACCACATGAAAGTGGATCAAATCCAAAAGTTTTTTTAAGGTACTCATGTAATATGCATGAAGAATAGAAAAAGGAATTATTTATCCTCTCATCATTTATTATTTTTACACTTGCAGAAGAGACAACTGTCTCTGCCAATATATCAGAAGGTTTTACTAGAAGATTTTTATTACGCAATTCTTGAATAAAATTCAACATTAAATTGCTGCAGCAATTTATATCAGAATTTTCATTCTCCTTATTTTCATTTAAAAAAGAAAAATCTTCATTCTCACATAAATACATGAGTTGACTTATTCCCTCGATATTTCTGCTAGAAGATATAACTGCCTCTTTCGCTAATGTGTGATAGGTATGGAGCACCACATAAGTAATAAAGTTAACACGACATGCCACACCCACTAATCCTTCATGCATTTGATGGTACTTCCGTAGCAACGCACAAAGTAGTTCCATTCCATCATCTGTAGAACAAGAAATTTTCTCAAGAAATTGTTGTGCATCAAATACAATGACAAAATGATCTTTTTGAAGTGAGGACTGAATAAATTTTCCAACTATATGAGTAGGATGGGTTGCATAAGATTCTACAAAATTCAAAAGCTTTAAGGCCGCTTTTTCCATAGATCACAATTTTGATTCAGTGGGAATGAGCGTCACTCCCTGAAAACCTTTCTCTTGCTGCCCTTCTGCGTCGCTTGAATAAAAGCGAACGAAAGAAAAAAAAAAAGATAAAGAAAGAACAAGCAAAGAAAGGCACAGAACTAGGTTTAAAATTGGTCTAGCGGTACCTTCTTTTTAATCGTTTATTTACACCATATCTTTAAACGGCACTTCAAGTACTGAAATACCATAATGTACTAAATCTCCCAACAACTGTGTTGATACCGAAGCACATGTATTAAATTGTCCCCTTGGAAAAAACATGGGTTGAACTTCTTTCTGGGAAAGAGGGAGGGTAACTCCATTAGAAAATAAACTTGTACTAGTTGAGCGATCCATACCAGATGAAAGCGCAGATTCCCGAGCTTCCCAGAGTCTAAGCACTTCTGTAGTCGTTGGGGCTGTACAGATTTCAAAAACTGATACATTATTAGGTGATTTTATAGGTTCTTCAACCGCATTTTGTGGTTTGGGTCTTTCTGTCGTCACACGATCAAGTGCAACTCCGTGAGCGCTTGGAGCAAGGAGTGTCCACGGCTGCAACCAAGTTGTTAATGCTGGAATGCTAGTTAACTTTGTAGAACTATGATTATTATTTGCCCCAGCTTTTACACGCGTAGTTTTTTGCGGTGTCCTCCCTTCTAACTCTGATACTGGGTCCAGTGGAGGTGATGTTCCTGTTCGTTTCGGCAATGTTCCGCGCCTATCTGTGGTTCGTTGCCGCCCATCATCAGTTCTTTCACGCTTTGTTCCCCATTTGTTCTCTGCAGACTTTTGTTGTGTCCTCGTCGTTGTAGTCACTGCAGACATTCCCACATGCTCCAAGTACTGTGCACCAAGGGCAGTAGTTTGGGACGCCACAAATCCTGACAATTCCCTGATAAAATCGGCTACTCTAATACCCTTTACCTCACCGTTAGCAACCCCCTCATCTTTTTCCAATTCGCACAAAGCATCTTCCAGGTCAGCTATTCCTACAAGTGCAGCACGACAAAATTCCGAGAACTGAGCATTAAAACGTCTTTGAGAATCTGTTCCCTTCACAACGGCACGTGCCGATTGTACTACTGTTTGAAGCAAAGAATTAATAGAAGTTAATTTTGCACTTTTAGATTCTTGAATAGCCCGAATAACGCGACTCTTTCTGTTTTCTGGATCTTCAACTTCATCGTTGGCACGCCCAACTTTAACCCGTTGCGATGACATTGGTTAGCCTTGATTACAAAAAAAAAAAAAAATTGGAGGTGAGAGAAGAGGAGACGATGTAATCTTTAGTATGAAGAAGAACAAAAAGAATACAATGAACTGCAATGCAAAAAAAAAGTAGGTAAAGTTTTTTTTTTTTCAAGCGTATTATCATCATCATCATCATCATCACTGTCACACACACAAAAAAAAAAGAAAAACATGACAAATCACCTTACCATTATACTCCACTTCTTAAAATCTCAAGCATAATATTAGTGAAATAAATGCAGGAAAGAATAGAATACTACTCACCCCCATACCCCCACCACCTCAAAAAAAAAAAAGAAGTAACAAAATAATTGGTATTATTTTTGTTGTGCCCTTGTCACCCACTGTCTTTGAATCGATAAACAGATATAGAGTTTCCAGCATAAATTTATTATTAATACAGACAAAAAGGAAATGATGAAAGTACCGCTGACCTGCCTCCTCCGCAGGATGAAGGAATGGGACAGTTGGATAGGCTTTTCAAGACATGACCTTTACAAACAATACGAATACGAATAAAATAAAAAATAAATAAAACCAATAAAGTTCTTGGGATAAGGCAATTTTAGACGACGAAAGCATAATAATTAAACAAAAAAAAAGAATAAAAAGGACAGAAGGAAGAAAACATGTTTTACCAATAAAATATAAAGTACGATTATTTTGTGTACAGACACAATAATTCTTGAGCAAGGTAGAAAATATCATTTTTTTCTTTTTTTTTTTCGAGCTGAGTTATATAAATATAACATTTATTAGAAAACCACTATTTATACCGATTCAATACACTTATAGTTTCCTTAAGTTTTTATTCTCATAATGATATTTTCTAAATCCTGTTGTTCTCTAATAATCTTAGCCTCATGCGTATTTTCTTTCAGTACATGTACTCTCATAATCTGAGTGGAACGGAAAACCTCAATAATAACTAACAATTTTTCACTTACTGAGAGTAGCAATACAGAATGAACTTCACTTAAAAAAGGATCTAGATACAGTATGAACTCTCAATATTTTATTAAATAAAATTTATTTTATTCCTGATTTTAATCGAAAAATTTTGACTCAGTAAACTCAAGTTTTACTATTTTTCCCTTATCATCTCAGATGTATTCTTTAAATGCTTAATGTCTTCGTTGTCGATAGCCTCACCACTTCCAAGGGTGGTTGCAAGCGTCCTAGCAAAAGATCCACAAAAGCTTTTTCTAGTATGGGTTCTACTATCTTAAATAAACCAAACAAACAAATCAAATGTTTTAAATAGTGTTTCAAAAAGGAATTCTTCACTTAATGAAGCATTTGAGTACAATTTCGAGACAATACATTATCTACACCTTTTTGTTTCAACATGTATAAAGTATCCTTGAGCCCTTTTTTAACGAAAAGAATAAAAAAAAAAGGCTTGCATAATCCACATGCTCCAAGAAACCGTTCAAGCTTTTATTACTTTAGTGAATACGAAACATACTCAAGAAATCGGACGAATTCCTCAGTCGTTCCAAGGTCATATAAGACCACCCATTTTCACCCTTCGAGTCTAAACATCCTTCCCATAAAGAAAAAAAAAAAAAAACCAAAAGACGAAGAAAAAAAAAAAATGAAAAAAAAAAAACAGTATCTGTTATCTGACGCACATTTAGACATTATCAAGCACAAATCATATGATACTACTTTTTTTTTTTTTCAGAGGTGGTGAGGTTTAGCTCACCACATGAGATGCATAACAAGAGAAAATTTTCTCTAAGAAGCAATTTATACACCAATAACATTTCGCATCTGACGTCGGACCTCCTGTTGCGCGTTGACATCCAAACGGTAGAATATCCATTGCTTCACAATACAATAACATAAAAAAACAGCTTCTAGACCCCATAAAGAAAGCACAATGATAACAGGTAATACAAGAATCTTGGACTTGGTTTCAGAAACACCTCTTGCGAAATCAATCCCAGAGGCACCGTAGTTAGACGGTCCAACAAAGATAAAAACACTAAAAGCCAACGCCACAATTAAACCACAAAGGCTAAGCAAATGTTTTGTATGACGTCCAGTAGAGCATGCACGGTATACTGGCCAATACCAAATAATAAAGCTCAGTGGTATTCCAATAAGATAAACAATGGAAAGTACAATACTTTGTGCTTTATTAAATCTTTTCGTAGTACCTTCACGATAAGGTGCAAGAATTACTCCAATAGTAATAGCTGTATTTATTACAAGTAACAAACATGTAATAATCCAGTTTATAAAATTCATTCGCACATATAGTCTTCTTGGTTCAGGAACAAGAGCAATTTCATGATGTAAAAAAGGCTTTATGCAAAGAAACTTGGGAGGGAAGTTGGGAGTAAGGTTAGCTTGGCGCATTGTCGTTTCACGTTCTCTCACCTGAGATTCCAGTGCATTTAATCGCTTTTCCTCTTCTATAGTCTTTAACCATCGTTCTTCAAGCAAAACTCGTTCCTTTTCCTCTGGTGTCATCCCTTTTGTACTTTTTTTATTTAAGCCCAAAACTTCTTTTGCAACACGTAATTTGTGGTTTTCTTTTCGGTCTTCACGTTTTCCCTTCTTATTTCCTTCACCATTTTCAGCGGTTGGTGAAAAAACCGAAGCCCCTTCACTAGGAGAGGGGCGGGAATCTTCTTTTCCAAACATAGAAGGCTGTGGAAGATTCTGCGCGGTCAATTTGGTATTAGGAATAGTTTTTTGCTCTTCTCTTGTTTCCACCTCTTCCCCTCCATCAGATTGCAGTTTTACGTCTTCTAAATAAGCAGGAGCTTCAGGTGGTGCATGTGGTGTCTTCGATGATATGGTTTCATTATCTGCCTCAGAGTTAAAATTATACATTTTTTGTAGTTCACTGACTTCACTTTCAAACCGATACATGGTTTAATCAAAAACTATTTTACTTTTAATAAATTAAAAAAAAAAGTATACAAGGGAAAAAAAAAGAAAAACATCAATTAAAAAAAACGATTTTCAGAATCAAACCATATGTTACGAGCTTGCACTTTTAGACCACTCAAGATAGAATTTTTTTTTCCTTAGAAAAGGTCTTTATTTCCTTTTTTTTTTTCATACAAGATACATTTTCTCTAACATGAATGCGACAAGGTAATACATAGAAAAAAAAAAACACCAGGGAACCCTTCAGTACAAAAGAGAAAAAGGAAAGGACCGCTTATTTGACATTGGGAGGAGGGATCGAAACGCACAAACCCAATCAACTTATACCCATTACAAGCAATTTGTAATAGCTTTTATGTTCTTCCCTTTTAATCCTTTCTTTTTCCCATCGTGCGTCAGACCCATGCGTCTCATCTTTGTTTACTTTGCCCATTCAAAACGTTCATTTATAATCAAGTAATTCTTAAAGAAAAAAAAAAAAGCACCCCTCTAATTTCTTTCTTCTTTGTTTGCTCCCCTTAAAACATGGTAGGGACAGGTAGAAAAATAAAAAAGACAGTTCACAGCGATATGAAATGCCCAAAATGTGGAAGCCCTATTTTTTTTTTCCTTTTTTTCCTTTTTTTTGTGCATCCACAGAGAAATATACTATATAGCTATTCAACCAGATTTGAAAAGAAGAACGGCAACTTGGCCATAATAAAAGTAAACAAAACAATGTGTTTCATGTGTAACGAAACTGCCGAAATTACGGCCGACGATGCAGTGCCAGGTTGGTTGATACTTCTTATCGAACTCCTTTTTAATATAAGCAGCAATATCCTTTTCAATGTTGAATTTCTCCAAGGCCTGTGATGTCACTTCAAAGGCGTCAGCTTGCATGTCCTCAGGCATGTCAGCAGACTTCACAACAGCTTTGCGATCGCCAGACATTGTTATTTTTCAATAAGGTTTAACTTGTTTTGGTAAGTGACGCAATACTTTTCAAGAGAAAAAAAAAAGAACATAAAAAAGAAAAATTAATAAATAGTATAACAAGAACTTAAAAAAAAAACAAAAACACTATCCGTAATCAAAACATTATAAAGACTTTCTTCTACAGAACATTCACAATAACCGTTCATTCCGTGCTAAACGAAATAACGAAATAAAGATGAACAAGCGAAAAATATCAATTCATACCAAACAAATGAGCATATCCCTTCACCAGCACAGTAAAAAGAAAAAAAAAAGAAAAAAAAACGTCTAACATACATACATCAAACGTTTCAGAAATAATACTGACGCAAATTCTGATTAAACTCAAGTCCCCTTCCAGTCAATTGGAAAGAAGCCAGGAGAGAATCAAGAACGAATAGACGTCACGATGTACAGCAGCAAAAAAAAAAGACAGTGCGAGTAAAAAAAAAAAAAAAATTTAATTACTCCTCAGCCTTTGTTTTGCGAATGGGTTTCTTCTATTCTTTACCGTGGTTTTTTTTCCACCACCCTTTCTTGGGATGGCCTTTTATGGGCAGGCAAATTCTCGACATAAGCACATGATGGAACAAAATCGCGCGGTACCACCTTTGGTTTTTTGGGTTGAACATCGTTATTCTTTTCAGGACGTTTGAATTTACTTTTCCAGTATGTTCGTTCTTCGCTTTGCCTTTCAATTTCTTTTCGTTTGTTATCTTGTGGAGGGGTAAAAACAACCGGTTCTCCTTCTCCAAAGAACAAGCTATGATAATTGCCTTGTACAGATTTATATTCAGGGTTCGTCATATTGTGACGTTCTTTGCTGAACGGCATGATTAAAGGAATAGAAGGATCAACCACAAGTCTGGACGAAGCGCCATAATCAGCACGTCTTCTTTGCTCTGAATTATAGGTTGCAACAGTATCAACCTTTGACTCGACTAATTTCTCTGTTTCCTTTTTTGTGGGATTAATCCGTTTCCACTCATTTTTCAGATATTCAGGAACTTGAGAAAAAACAAATTCTTCCTCCATTTCAATATCATTTATAAGTTCCATGACAGGTTCATCTGAAAAGAGGACGTTATATTGACATAATGACTCCAAAATACGGGAAACAGATGTTGTTGAATTAGAAATCCGCTCAAGTTCACCCCTAAATTCAAAGAGGTCTGTTGTTTCTTGTAAATGGGAGTCATTTTGTCGTGGATGAGAAAGCTCCCTCCCGGTATCTGATGCAACCATAACGGGTTGGGAATCCCTTTCTCCTGAGAAGTCCTGTTTATTCATTTTGAGTATCTTATTTTTTTTTTTCTTCTCTTCTATTACTTGAGATGTGGCAAAAAAAAAAAACCTTGAAAAAAAATAGCAAA